CAATAAGTGGCAGGTTGACCGACTTATAAAATGAAATGCCTGGACTATAAAAAGAAGCGATGTTTTCGCTGTGTTTTAACCAACCATACTCCGGACAGCTGCAAATACAACGATTCAGAGTCTTTCAACTAAATGTCATTTAACGGGTCATTTGCAGTCTGAGTGCCGCAACGTGAAACCGCCAGCGAAACAGTCGACGAGAATGAAGCATATACGTCACACGGATCAGGACTCTGGAGATGAAGTGCCCGATGACACAGAAGATGAGTTTCTCGGGTCCATGTTCGTGCAGAACGGTACGCCCTCCTTTACTCGGAAGATCCCGGATGATGAAAGTTAGCCTAGATTGGGTAAACCTCTTTCCGTCTGTTCACGGTAAGTTCTCCGTGAGTCAAGATACGGATATACGGGTCGAACGTCTTAAGAAACTGTACGCTGAAGTCTTTCAGCCGGAGCTGGGAACTGTTAAAGGTGTCACGGCGAAATTGCACCTAAAGGGAAACGCAACACCAGTATTTCAGGGGCCACGCCTAGTACCCTACGCCCTTCGTTTCGCTGTAGAGGAAGAACTGAAACGCATGGAAAATGACAGGGTTTGTCAAGCCTGTAGAAGCGAGCAACTGGGCCACGCTCATTGTTTGTGTTCCTAAAACTGACGGTTCAGTACGTATATGCGGTAAATATAAAGGCACAGTCAACCCAGCTATTCCGACGGAGCAGTTCGCTATCCCAACGTCGGAGGAGATACGACGGCGTGTATCTTCATCGAATAAATTCGCGAAGATTGATCCTCGAAGTGCGTATCAGCAACTGGTTTTAAACGAGGAGTCAAAAACTGTGACCCACAAAGGTCTATTTCGGTACACGCAGTTGCCGTTCGGAATTTCATCGAGCCCCGCTATTTGGCAACGTTTTATAGAGCAAGTGCTCGCAGGTCTCGACGGAACTTGTGCAATCATGGACGATCTGCTAGTGGGAGGCTTTAACGACGATGGTCATCTAAAGAATTTAGAGGCAGTTCTTAGTCAGTTTCAGAAGTATGGGCTGCGAGTAAAACTACCGCAGTGCTTGTTTATGGCACAATCCGTTATTTACTTTGGATTTCGCTTCTCGGAAAAGGGTCTTCAGCCAGGTTGCGAAAAGGTCAGGGCCAACCAACCAACTTTAACTCCAAGTTATCGACCCTTGTCCATCCTTTGTACGAGCCGCTAGGAGACAAGTCGTGGAATTGGTCGCCGAACGGCGTCAAGGCCTTCTCTGGTGTAAAATGTGCGCTGACATCAGAAACTGTGCTAACGCATTATAATCCTTGCCTTCCTGTTAGTTAGCGGTGGACGCTTTCCTGTCTGGTTGGGTGCGGTCATTATGCATGAGCTTCCCAACGGCGAACAACATCCAATTGCCTATGTGTCACGGACATTGAACGAGCACAAAAAGCGCCACGGACAAATAGACAAGGAAGCTTTGCGCGATAATGTTTGGGCTGAAACGGTTCCACTTGTACCTATACGGCCATCACTTCACAATACAAACGGATCATAAACCTCTGGAGCGAATTTTTGGTCCTAAAACAATCATCCCCTCGCTAGCTGCGATGCGTCTACAGCGTTGGGCGATTATACTTTCACGTTTCAACTACAGCATCAGGTCCGTTCCCTCAAAGCAAAATGCAGTGGCTGACGCGCTGTCAAGACTGCCCTTGCCGTCAACGCCCAATGACGAAAATTCTGCATACGATATTGAAGAACGGCTGATCCAGTCCTTACCCATTAAGCAAAAGAAAATAAGCCATGCCACGAGAGTACACCCAGTACTCTCGAAGGTGTTAGAATAAGTTATGTCACTCACGGTTGGCCGAAGCACGTGAAAGATTTGCGCCTTCAACCCTACTTTAATCGTCGATTCGAGTTGTCTGTACAGCAATACTGTCTATCGTGGGGACGTCGGGTAGTTATACCTGCTCGGTACCAGGAGGACATGTTACAAGAATTGCACTCAAGCCACCCACGGATTATACGAATGAAGGAGATGGCACGTAGTTACTTATGGTGGCCTAACATCGACCAAGAAATTGAACAAACTGTGAAAAATTGCAAAAGCTTCCAACGAGTTAAGAAGCCACCAGCTTTAACACCACTTACTCCTTTTGTGATGGCCGATCGCCTAACCTTAGCATCCCATTCGTATAGATTACCCTGAAGACCAAAACGCGTACTACTTCATCATTGTTGATGAACATTCTCGCTGGCCAGCGATCCACTTTATGCACAAAAACACGTTAGCAACCGCGACCATTGCTATCTTACGGCAACATTTTTCCATTTACGGATTACCGGTGCATTGTGTCAGTGACAATGGTCCACAATGTCGAGGCGAGGAGTTTGCACACCTCTTAAAGATGAATGGTGTTAAGCATATACGTGTAGCACCATATCACACAGCCAGTAACGGATGAGCCGAAAGAATCGTTCAATCACTCAAGTATCACGGGAAGGAGAGTAAAGGCGGGAAGCTTTCCATCCAGCAACGAATTGCTAACTTCCTGTTAGCATACAGGTCAACAACACATTCCTCTACAGGCAGGACACCAGCTGGCCTGTTCCTTGGACGCGAACTTCGCACTAGACTGACCCTTCTTTGTCCAAGTGTCGGGGAAAAGGTTATGGATTCACAATCGAAGCAGAAGGCAACACACGACGCGCACGCAAAGTGTAGAGAGTTCTTCCCTGGTGACAGGATCTGGGCAAAAGACCTGCGGAAAGAATACAAGTGGTGACCGGGCTCAGTTGCTTTGCGAAGTGGTCCGAAGTCTAAAGAACTATTGCTGAACTACTGAAGGGTTTGGAAGCATCATCTCGACCATATTAGACGTGATTCCATGGCCAGCGCGGCCGCTGAGAGGGATTCTGAAAGAGTTCCACAGGACGCTGCTCCAGATCCCGCTCCACAAGCCACCTTGAGTCCAGGTGACCCCTCGCTTCCTCCAATTCTCGTAAACATGCCGATCTCGAATCTCTTTGAACTTAAAACGCAAGTGGGCTTGGAGAATGTAAACAATCCTGCACCAGACGTAGAGACGCCATCTTTTCTGGGTACTTCTTTGTCCGAAGCTAGTTTCTTTCCACTGCGCTCTAGTAGAGTACGCAAGGCGCCGGACAGACTGATTGAGACAATGTAAATATCTGTATGATAAGTTCACTAAGCAGTATTTCTTCGAGTTAAGGAAATCTGCCCCGATGTTGTTTTTCACCTCACAGTTTTTAGACTAATTCACTGTGTTAGTCTCGAATCAATCACAGCCTTAACGCTCAGTTCAGCAAGTTTATAAAAACTCGTTGCTCGGTTAGTAGAAACAAAGAAGGGGGGAGATGTGGTGCATGACGTCATACCACGTGCACTTGCATCACACTCTTGGAGTTGCTGGTCGCATGCTTTTGTGTATTTTCGATATCAGAATAAAAGGTCTTTTGAATTTGTAAAGCTCGATCTGTTCTTACGCCTTGCGGAACGACGCAATATGTAACAATACGCTATTATACATACCGCATTTTTTTATATTCCTGTAAACTCTGCATTCAATTTACCACATTATGTTACAACCTATATGCACCACACGGGTAAAAAAGGAGATTTAAAAAAAACAAAGAAAAATGAGGTTACGAAAATATTTTCTTCAAGGGAGTTCGAACCCGGACCATCAGAATTAGTTAGAACTAAAAGTTAACGCCTCTATCCACTGGACCACCTCTGTAAACGCTGACAGTTCGAGTTTAAAAGAGGTATATATTCCATCTTTATGGTGATTGACAGTTTTCAAGGATGGCTTTTTTGGATTTTTTTTTTAAATTCCGTGTAGAATTAAATCTTTAACTAATCGATGCTAGACGTAAAGCTCACAATAAACCCATTAATACTCTTTCAGGCTTGGTCCATGCAGGGGAACGTTTAAGAAATTTATGAACGTTAACAATCGATCGCGCGGCTACCAACTGAACCATATGACCGTACGATTCCCTCCCTGATCGTAAGATGTCTTTTCATCGGTCGGGGAAAACATCAACACAACATTGTTCATCATTATTTATATTGTTTTAGGTTAGGTTAGCAAACCATTTGGCTTTTAGGGGTAGAAGAGCTGCCACATGACCTCTCTCCCCGGAATGAAGAAAAACAATATGGCCTCCAAATATATCCTTTTTACTTTTTTTAAAGTTCTCAGTTATTAACAAACGTTGAACATTAATTTATTTCGGCGAACAAACAGTAAAGTTGAAAAAGGATTTTACAAAAGTTTTAGGAGTAAGTCTCCTTTTCGAATTTAACTTGCAATATTGGTCAATTTACGCATTTCTTAAACTTCTGGCTCAGTTTTCCTTTGCTTCTGCTTTGAAAATGGAATAATAATTACTCAGAGACAATACAGTCTAAAGAATTGTCGAGAAAAAGAACAAAAACTTGCCAATTTATGACAAAAAAGGTACTTTAAAAACGAACAAAGATATTCAAAACGCTTTGATCAGGTGACTGATGACGTCATGTCCCTCTTGTTACGTAGAACATCACTTTCCTGCAAATTTTCTTTGCCGTGTGATAAAAGGTTGACTCTCTACAGCCCTCGGCCTACCCCCTTGAAAAATAAAATAAAATCACGTGACTGATGACGTCATTACCTTAGATATGACATGGGAAGATATTTTATGGCAAATTTTATCTTGTTGTGGTCTGACAGTCATCTACGTATTAAATTGTCAAAGTTATAAAGCGTTTTAAAACGTTGCCTCAAAGGATTCTGGGAGATTGATATGATAATTACCTGGTATAATTTAGTTTTATAATTATTATTATTACTATTATTAATAACTTGCGGAGTATTTTGTAACGATGAAGGAAAAGTTATTTTGACCTTAAACCTTGGTCTCGCATATCATTTTTGTACCATATTGGCAAGACTTTATTCGACTACAACTACGTTTGCATAAACATTTTACAGTTTTGTATAT